CAATAATGCTGAAGAAAATCTTACCCTCAACGTTTAATAGTGAAATAGGACGAAACTGACTGATGCTTGTAGCATCTTTTTCTTTAGGTATAAAGACTCCACCTGCTCTGCGCCATGCTCTAGGTACAACCTGTTTTTCCCATGCCACTTTCATCAATTTCCACAGAATTCGCAGAACTCCTGAAGCACTCTTGTACACTCTGTACGGAACTCCATTAGGCCCTGGAGCTGATGAAGCCCTTGCCTTTCTCACAGCCTGCTCTACCTCTTTCCACTTAGGTGCACAGACCTCCATTTGGTATTCTGGTGGGTTGATAGGTGGTATGTCTGATGGAATTGACATAGGCTCATGCCTTTTTGCATCTGTATGCGTGTCCTCCAAATATCTCTCTAGCTCAATCCTAGATGTTTTTAAAGTGCCATTCTTCTCACTGGTGAATAACTTCTTTACGAATTTGAATGGGTCTTTATAGAAATTAGCCCTCGCACGTTCCTTCTTTTTGTAGCGTTTCCGTAGGCGCTCAGCTCTGCGTAATGTTGCCAGCTTATCTTTTATGGCCCTTTGTAAGAGATTGAGTCCCTCCTTCTGACTTTGTTCTGCTCTTTTCCATTGCTTCCTCAGCTGTCTCCTTTCTCTAACTAACCCTTCAATTTTCTGCTGCCGTCTAGACATTCCAGGAGTAGTTTGTACTTTTTCCTTCCTTTTTTCCACACCAAACCTCTCACTTCCATATGCGTAAATGATGTCCCCAAATTTATCCAGCTTCTTTTCAACTGTACCAGTTAATCTTTCCAATGCAAAGCATAGATCTGTGTTTACCGTGTCCCATGCAGTTTTCTCACAAGCTCTTGGCCATCTTACTCCAGGCCTATGCCCGTTGAGGTTCTTTTCTCTCTTATGCTGGTTAGCCTGACCGGGTTCACAAGTATGAATATGTTCATCACTAACTGTGCAAGCCCTCCTTTCGTCAATGACAGGGGTGCTGATATCCTGCGAGCCGTGGTTTGCTTCCTGTCGCTGGATTTCATTCGACTGACTTGACTGACTTCGTAAGAAGTACTGATCAATGCGAGGCCCTTGTCCCTTCTCCCTCAAGCATTTCATTTTCCCTTGATGAACCTTCAAACCCCTGACCGTTGTCACCTTGCTCCAGCCACAGACACAAACTTGGAGTTCAATGACTTTACTTACTGCAGATCTTGAACTAGTCTTACTCTCCATACTCATAAATTAATAATATCATAATGAAAACGTTTTTAATTACATAGGCCTACAGTACTTTTATACTATTTTTAAATAAGTAGTAAGCAAAATGTACTAAACGTGAAACATAGTGTTTTAATTATATACATTATTTCTTGTGTATGTAGCGTTAGGCAGAATGAGCTTCAACACTGTCTACACCGGACGCGGCCGTTATTGCTCGCAACAGCTGTTTACCCGAGACGCGAAAAAGCGCCCGTTACAAAGCAGAATGGGGCATCAGTTTACTGTCGGAGATCTGTCGCTCGAGCGACGCATTTTAATCAATGTTTCATCAACCAATTGCCTGAATTTAATACATAAGAAGTAGCCTAAATATAGCAGACAATATAATCAGGACTTCTCCGCTGCGCCCTTGCAATAGTCACAAGCTCACACAATACGTGACAGAGGCTGGTAGCAGAGAAATCAATTCTGTGAATTACACTGCGCAAATCAAAAGTAATAGGCTACTACCCACCGGATGAAGAAGGGTTGGCTCTCAACAGAACATAAAATATTCATTTTATTTTATTTTTCGTGTTCGCATTTATGAGGGAAAAACAACGGATGTGACAAGCCAACGCGCGGCACTAAAAGACTTTAAAACTTTCACAGAGCCCTCAAAACAGAAAGCACAAAGCCTTTCATTAAAGTGAATTTCGTTTTGTATTAATTGTATCTTAATTTTAATCAATGTTTCATCAACCAATTGCCTGGATTTAAAAAAATAAGAAGTAAATATAGCAGACAATAGATAATCTCGACACGGAGCCGCCCGTGAACTGCAACTCGTCTCATATATTAACCGAAACTCAGCAGAAATATATCTATATTGAAATGTCTACTTTTAAACAGAACAATTCAAAACGAAAGACAGACTGCTCTCTGCTGTAATCTGTATATGAAATGTGCATTTCTCTCTGGCGTGTTCACTGAAGATCGCGAGTCAGCGTCGTCAACTTTGCAGCGACACTGACTGAAAACACTTGTTTATTAATAAAAAAATAAAATGTCTCCTTGCTATATTTTATGTATTCACAGTCATTACTTTTGCCAGTTCTTTGTGACAGCTTTTATGTGCTTTATTGGCAGCGCCACCCTTACATGAATCACCGCACCAGCATTTTTTAAAATATTAATTTATCGGCCATTATAAAGGCCTATGCCGATAGTTAGGAAAATGCCTAATATCGGCCGATAATATCGGCGCGCCGATATATCGGTCGGGCTCTACTCTAAACAAGAAACTTTCCCAAAACATACAGATAGAGTGTTTTGGGAAAGTTTTTTTTAGAGCAGAGCTCGACCTTGACGAGGCTGGATTCTGTGTGTGTGTGTGTGTGTGTGTGTGTGTGCGCTAATATTCTGTTTCACAGGTCAGTATTGGTAAGATGAACGACTGGAGAGATGGAATAATTAGTTGTTCTCGACATGTTGGCGCCAAGATATTGTAGTTCTGTGAACGCAGGGTTCAGGTGTCATCAATGAAGATACGCTTTTGTCTAACACTCAATGAGGACATTTCCTCTTTATAATTTTTGTGTACCATTTCAAAACTACTTGGGACTAAATTGGCCTTTTTTTTGTGTAAAAGTATACTTTTTAGTGTAACCGTAGTAAACTGTGTACAAAACTAGTTTTGTACTGCAACTGAAGGTATATATATATATATATATGTAATATATATATATATATATATATATATATATATATATATATATGTAAACTAACACTATACTGTTATAGGTATAGTGATAGTTTACTAGTCAAATGCTTGTTGCACAGTTTATAAAAGTACACTTTGAAGTATACTCTCAGTATAAAACTACTAAACTAGCAGTTTACTGACAGTATACCTGTAAGTTCTTTAAGTGAACATAACATTATACTTATAATTTACCATTTATATTACTTTAGCACTTTTAGTATATTATCCATGTTCCTATTTAGGTATTAGTGTTTTATACTCGAAATATACCTTTAGGGATGTCACGGTACCAAAAATCCAGTAGTCGGTACCGATACCATTAAAATTTTACGGTTCTCGGTACCAATTTCGGTACCACAGGAAGTTCATGGAATGTAGAGAACCACTCGTTATACATAAATCAGGTAACAGTTCATGTTTTACATTACTTACATATACGATTTAGTTTTCATCCAAATAATACGTGCCGAGTGAACGATCAAGAGCATTCAACAGAACTGCGCTCTCTCTCGTCAGTTAACGTTAATAATAAGCTACATGCCTCTTTTTATTTTCTTTGCCATTGACATCCGACAGAACTACAAACTTTCCACTGACGTCTGTTAAAAGGGATGTGCTCGACCAGCTCGCGTGTCTGTGCCGCTGCGCGCTCAATCCACTGCGAGGTTTCCTCTGATCAGCTCGCGCCCCACAGCTATGTTACTGTACACACGCTGCCTGGTAGGCCAATCGGTTGTTGGTATTGGAGCATTTTTACGAGTACATGAGCTCGTTATCGGTGCATCCCTATTTATAATAATTCAAGCACTAGGGGTGTGCCGGTTTCAGAATTGGTGATGACGGTTATGACGCGAGTCAAATGTGACGGTTCGTAACATAACCGTCGTCGGGGGGGGGGGGTTGAATAACTGTTTGTCTGTTATAGGACAACTTAGTTTGAATAAACAAGCAGACACTGATTAGCTACTGGCGTTTATTTAACATGAACAGTAAGACAACTAGAAGTGAATGTGCTTTCCATTAAATGTATCACACAGAAAACAAAACCTTAACAAAAAAAAAAAAAAAACGTTGCAATGAACGTGCTTTGTTTTAAATAAATCACACACAGTAAACAAAACCTTAACGAAAAAACTTTGGAATAAACTTTGCAATTTAGACGCACAAACTGCGTGCCGGTGCGGTGAGACGTACGGCTCGGGCAGATTCGGCTGGAAGTCGGTCATCCTCGGACGCGGCGCCGCGCGCGCTGTTACAAAAAAAGCCGTGCACACAGCCAAGCCAAATGGGGTCTTGCTGGTCTTGTGCACCGAACGCGTAATTTTTGCCGCGCGCACCTTCGCGATCGTGCGGACGCGTCGAGTATAAACAAGGCTTTACTCCGTGTCAGCGCGCGCTCTGATCGGTAAAGGGGCACAGACCTCTCCCGAATCATCTCCAGCAGTAGCAGCCTCCGTTTCCCTCGTAAGCTGATATTAGTATTTAAACATTCTCTATGATAAAAAATGTTTGTAAAAAATATTTTAATAGCACGGTTTTGGCGGTTATAGAGTTCTAATGACGGTGTTCAACTATAACCGTCGGCCTCACGGTTATATAATAACCGTCACACCCCTATCAAGCACTTTGCTGAGAAAAAAACATTTTTGTAATTTTATGTACCGAAAGCCCTGACATGCATCCATTCAGTTCAGTATTTCGACTAGTTTGGCTTCTATGTGGGCATTTGAAGTTCTCTACATGCGTTTTATAGTATTAACGTTAACGATTATTTGATTAATTGTTTTAATAGAAATTGATTATCACAATTCCTGAAAATGTTCATCCCTAATTCATCCCCAATTCATTTTTTCATTTAGATTATGACTGATTTGCTTTTAGCCCGTGAGATCGTTACAAATATAAAGTATTAAAATAAATAAATCAACTGCCAGGAAAAAGACTGTATAATTGGTTAAGTACAAAAAAAGTTTCTTATTTCAGTGCTGTATACTGCATACTGTTACAGTGCCACATTATTAAATATGAATATCAATAAACACTCACATGTGTTGAAGAACGGGTCATCTGTCAAAGGCATCCCGTCAACAGTGAACAGACACACAGTCATGTGGTCACCGATGTTCTCGTGAATGCTGATCCTCAGAATGAGATCCTCCACTGTGTTCTGTAACGGGTCCATATCTGTGCGAAAAACAAACTCAAAATTACGATGACTTCATTTTTAGAATAAAAGTCATTATTGTCTTTCAAGTTTAAGGGACTCACCAAAATACATACCTTGTATTTCTTTGCGCCCTTGACATTTTGGGAATGAATAATAGAGGAAATATGCCTGAAGTGATTTCCTCAATGATGCTTTTGGTGGAGGAGCCAAACCGAGTCTCTGAATGTCCTCGATCATGTTCTTGAATTTGTTCTTCTGAACTTGCTTAAACTCTTTGGGAGACACCAAATAGAGAACGTCATTTAATAATAATAAAAAAAAATTTGTTTAAAGGTATAATTTGAATAATTGTTGTAGTAATAACGGCATGTAATAACTTTATTATTTAAAAAAATGTATGAACAAATTTTTCCAGTGAAATCTGTTGATAAATCTTACTCATGTTGTCCAAGTCCTCATCAGTCACACCGTCAATGAAATCCTTCACCTCCTCAATCCCAAGCTCAACAAACTGGTTGTAAAACTTCTCTAGTTTGTAGTTTTCTAAAAGCTTCAATACTTCATTCATCTGAAAACACATTCAATTTATAATGAGTACATTTTCTTTACAGAAAATACCAACGCTTCAATAAATATTGCATATTTTGGTATTAATGTTATAGCCTAGACAAAGTTTACTCGTTTAGCTTGGCTTCCAGAGAATATACACTCACCGGCCACTTTATTAGGTACACCTGTCCAACTGCTCGTTAACACTTAATTTCTAAGCAGCCAATCACATGGCGGCAACTCAGTGCATTTAGGCATGTAGACATGGTCAAGACAATCTCCTGCAGTTCAAACCGAGCATCAGTATGGGGAAGAAAGTTGATTTGAGTGACTTGATTTGATTGTGATGATTGTTGGTGCCAGAAGGGCTGGTCTGAGTATTTCAGAAACTGCTAATCTACTGGGATTTTCACGCACAACCATCTCTAGGGTTTACAGAGAATGGTCCGAAAAAGAAAAAACATCCAGTGAGCGGCAGTTCTGTGGGCGGAAATGCCTTGTTGATGCCAGAGGTCAGAAGAGAATGGGCCGACTGATTCAAGCTGATAGAAGAGCAACTTTGACTGAAATAACCACTCGTTACAACCGAGGTATGCAGCAAAGCATTTGTGAAGCCACAACACACACAACCTTGAGGCGGATGGGCTACAACAGCAGAAGACCCCATCGGGTACCACTCATCTCCACTACAAATAGGAAAAAGAGGCTACAATTTGCAAGAGCTCACCAAAATTGGACAGTTGAAGACTGGAAAAATGTTGCCTGGTCTGATGAGTCTCGATTTCTGTTGAGACATTCAGATGGTAGAGTCAGAATTTGGCGTAAACAGAATGAGAACATGAATCCATCATGCCTTGTTACCACTGTGCAGGCTGGTGGTGGTGGTGTAATGGTGTGGGGGATGTTTTCTTGGCACACTTTAGGCCCCTTAGTGCCAATTGGGCATCGTTTAAATGCCACGGCCTACCTGAGCATTGTTTCTGACCATGTCCATCCCTTTATGGCCACCATGTACCCAACTTCTGATGGCTACTTTCAGCAGGATAATGCGCCATGTCATAAAGCTGGAATCATCTCAGACTGGTTTCTTGAACATGACAATGAGTTCGCTGTACTCAAATGGCCTCCACAGTCACCAGATCTCAACCCAATAGAGCATCTTTGGGATGTGGTGGAACGGGAGATTCGCATCATGGATGTGCAGCCGACAAATCTGCGGCAACTGTGTGATGCCATCATGTCAATATGGACCAAACTCCCTGAGGAATGCTTCCAGCACCTTGTTGAATCTATGCCACGAATAATTGAGGCAGTTCTGAAGGCAAAAGGGGGTCCAACCCGTTACTAGCATGGGGTACCTAATAAAGTGGCCGGTGAGTGTATATGCACATGTTTGGTAATTAATTTGTTTGATCATTATACAATCAAGTTACTCAAGAATTATAAATTTGAAGAAAGGTTTCTTTTCTTTTTCTCATTGTACTCTTTTGTTCTCATGCAGGGGTTAACTTATTATTTGTGTTGTGTGTGTGTGTGTGGGGGGTGGGGGGTTACATGCCATGACCAAGTAACCAATGTAAATAAATAAATGTAACTTTTTTTTTTATTATAATACTGGAATGCATAAATATTACACAGAAGTGTGATATTTAAAAAGCATGTAAAAAAAAAAAAAAAAAAAAAAATAATTATCACACTGTGTGTGCTTATCAGCTGGTGTCAGGTTATATGAGAATGTGCTGAACGCATGTTTCTTTTTTTATTCATACCACAACGGTATAGAAATGTTAAAATATGTATTTTCCTCAAAAGGCAAATAAAATTGTTCATTTAAAATGGACAGCAATATATTTAATCATGTCTGGTCATTTGAAAAATGTTTTTTTTTGGGTATACAGTGCGTGCAGAATTAATAGGCACGTTTTCTTTTACAGATAAAATAAGCCAAAAAAGAGATTTAACTCAGACTGAAAAGTAAAAAATTATTAGATGCCCAAGAAAGGACTGGTTAAGGCATGACAGTCCTTGCAAATGCAGAATGCAAATTAATTGATTACAATTAAGCCTAAAGGAAAGAGGTTTTTTTTTTTGGAGAAAAGGTTGGATTATGGTTTAAATTACTTGAGTGAGCTGTTTGATTAAACACTAAAACTTTATCCTACGATTCTTTTATGATCCGTTCATTGCGTCTGTCACGTGCCTATGGTCACGTCACGTGTGACACAGTGTTGCCAGATTGGGCGGGTTCCCGCCCAATTGGGCGGTTTTGAATTTGATTGTGCGGGTAAAAAAGGGTTTGGGCGGGTGGTCAAAATTTGGGCTGGTTTGGGATCATTTCGGCGGTTTTCAAACATCTACATTTTAAAGTCTAATTGGTTAAAAAAACGAAACTAAAGTGCATGTAGTCCATAAAATCAGTCATCATGACATTACTGTACACACACGCTCATGCAGAGTCAGCTGGCGTTAGTGTTGACATCACCGACGAGCACGCACTTTTAGCCAATCAGCGATCCGCAGGCAGACGCGATTGAGCGCGAGAAGTTGTAGCTGTATATTCAAGTGATCGCTAAGGCAAAGTGACATAGGCTACTATACAGTAGATGTAGATGTTTGTGTTCGGTGAAATTTTGCCTGTTAAAAGTAAGCCATTTAAATGAACAAAATGACTCGAATAAAGATTCGTTCATTTTGATGAACGAGAAAGTCAGTAAAATGATCCGAACTTCACATCACCTGGACTTAGTAATTTGAATGAGGAGAGATCTGTCCTGTTATAAAGTAGACAATAAAACTGATCGTTTTCATAAGAAATAAAACCTTATAGCCCCGCCCCCTTTTCAGCGATCCGCTCGTTATATTTCCACATTTCTTACAGGTAGTTATGAATTAACAGCTCGTTTTAAAAGTGTCCCGGTCTACTGACATTTGTTAAGACATCTACTTTAAACATTACAATGCTCATGATAACTTTCGTTAACTCTACAATAAGTAAATCCACTTCACCTGCTAATTACTCTTCGACAGCGATGCCAGAGAAATACTGTTACCGAAAAAATGGAAGTTCAAAGACAATTTCCAAAGATGGCGGCGCGCATGTGTCTCTGGAGAAAATGGTAATATAAGACCTTATAAAATACAGACACAGTCAGTTTACTGAGAAGCGTGAAAAATATTCTTACCGTTGTCTCCATTCGAGCAGCCATCTTGTAGCCAGCATCTCTCTCTTCAGTCTCTTGAGTTCAAGTGCCACACTGCCAGGTGGACTCTGAGGAACAAGAAGGGGCGTTTCCCAAACTTTGGCGCATTTCCAAACTTTGGCGCTTCAAACCGGGAGAGTTGTTTTTAACTAAGATACGGAAGCCTGAGAGGCCATTCATTATTTTTCATGAGAAAATAACATGTCAAGATCATGAAATAAAGATAGGCCTATATAAAATGCTGCATGCTATAGGACTTCCATAAAACAGGGAGCTATGCGTTTTTCCCGAGTGCCTGCCTAGAAGTTGGCTATGGAAACATAATATTAGACTCATGAAAATCACAGACTTTGAAGAGCATCAATTATTAATACTTGTAGCTTATAGCTTGAGAAGGCAAAATATGGTTAATAAAAAAGATCTAATAAATAAAGATCACTCTTTATTTTTTTTTCATAGGCCCTTTTTTTTCACAGTACAGAATCTTTCTTTTGACAGTTTGTTATATTAACTTTTGTCACAATATAACTATAGCCTTTATTTTACACGTCTAATTAATCATTAATAGGCCTAATAGCCTAATAATAATAAATATAGCAATTTGCATACATGCAATGCAACTCAAAGTGCTTCACAGGCAAAACAACAAATAATGAGAAGACAATTTCACACAATATCAATATAAAATATTTGAAAACGTTTCACATAAAGAAATTGACAAGACTCCTCACTCTTGGCTAGTTCCTATCCCAGACAGGATTGATATGTAATTAATTTTATATTCAATAATACACTTCAAAATATATAGATGTATATGTGATCAGATATGGTACTGCATGTATATTGCAGATATATTTACTCATGCAACATAAACACATATATAGAGAAATATATAATGTAATATATTTCTTATATTTTTTCAATTATTTACATAATAAATTATTCATTCTTTTTAGGCTATTTGACAACAGCTCTACAACACCTGCATGCACTAAATAATTTATCCAAGAGAATATCACTGTTCTGAGGAGTAGACAGCCATTTTAAAATATAGTAATTATAATCTTAATGTCCTTCGACCAATCGTCAACCGAACCACAGGCTCTACTCTTCAGCAGTGACCCCAAAAACTCACACATACCAGAAAACATTTTTAAATAAAAAAATAATAGAGCATTAAACACTAACAGATCTCCTCCCATATTAATATTGAGCAAAACACATCAAATAACACCTAATTTTAACATTTGCTCTCCTTTAACAGTCAGAAGCAAACCCAGATAGCAACATTGTTTCGGCCCAGATCCGGCCCACATCTGGCACTTGTGGGATGCGGATCTGGCCCACATGCAGCGTGGAATGACGGCCCTTGGGTGGCCCACTCCTGTTTGCCAGATCTGGGCCACAAGCAGGCCATAGCAATGCCACATGTCAGCCAAGAGCAAAGAAATAAACCAGAACTGGACTTTATCTGAGCCACAAATTCTGTGTAAATTAAATATGGAGTCATCTCAACCTTAATAAGCCTGTTAACAAGCAGAATCACTGAAAGAAAGAAGAGAATAGAAAAAGAGACGAGCAGAAACACAATAACTACAACTGACTTCAGACACAGTCTTAGATAAAATCAACTGAAGAAAAAAGAAGACATTAAATCTGTGAAGATCTCAGCAGAGGAGGATTAAACAACTCCACAAACAGCATTACCAGCCTCACTTATTACTAACCAGACTGACTTTATTTCTGTCAGACTTCTACAGAAGTTTTTATTGAGAATTAACAGAGGTTTAACTCTAATGTGTTTCATTTGAAGTCACCATAACAGTGATTAGTGTTTTCATTAGTTGGGCTCTTAACTCTTAATATTTCTTTTGTCTTTTTTTGGCCGTTGTGACAGTGTGTTTAGTCAAACACATTTGCAGCAGCAAAGAAAGCTAAAGTGAAAGGAGATCAGGTTATAATGGTTACCTGTTGATGGTTTTATAATCATCATGAAATAACTTGATTCACTGCTGTCTTTGGAATCTAACAATTGTGTTGATCCATTAATACACAGCAAAATCCCCCAGTGTTAAATTAACACTCCTCAGTGTTTATATGAGTCCTCACTCAGAAAGTGTTAAATGAACAATGAAGCAGGGCTAAAGTTAATGAGATAATTAAGTGATTAATTGAGTGATAATTGAGCATTATTGAAGACACCTGATGTTAACAAGCGGAATCACTGAAGGAGAAAATCGTAATTGGTATGTTACCATTATGGAGATTGGTGTTTGCTTTAGTTGGGCTGTTGACCCTTTAAGCTATTAACTGTAGTTTTGTTTGGCTGTTGAGTTATAACAGCCAGATGAACAAAGATAAAAGGTGATATGATGGTGTTGGTTGTGTTTTAACATTATCATTATTTCACAATCATTTGACCTGAATCACTGAACTCATATAGAGCCCAATTACTGAGTTACGTTTGCTTTATTGATTATAGCAGCACTGTCCTTGAAAAGCATAATGTTTGTAACTTTTACAATGTAATCCAAATACTTTCTTAAAACTTAATCACATACATAACTGTTTTTTTCTTCTTTTTTTTTACACAGACATCAAGAACCAGCCTGTGACTCTCAATAATGGTGACAATTATAAAGCATTTTGCAGTGTATTCTGGAAGCCACCAATCAAATCTCATTCATGGCTCCCATCATGCATTGCTGCATGAATAAATAATGAGCTTATGTTCAGAGGTGATCTTTTTGTAACCATTGTTGAGATTCATACGCTAATTCTTGATGTCTGTATGTGGCTACCTGAAATATTTTCAGAAGTTTTTTTTTTTTTTGTAATTGATTTGATCATTATGTTAAAACACAACCAACACCATCATATCACCTTTTCTCTTTGTTCATTCCAGCTGTTATAACTCAGGTACAGCAGCCAAACAAAATCTAAAGTTAATGATTTAAGGGGCAACAGCCCAACTAAAGCAAACACTGATCTCCATAATGGTAACATACCAATTACGATTTTCTCCTTCATTGATTCTGCGTTAACATCAGGTGTCTTCAATAATGCTCAATTATCACTTAATTAATCACTTAATGATCTCATTAACTTCAGCACCGCTTCAGTGTTAATTTAACACTCTCTGAGTGAGGACTCATATAAACACTGAGCAGTGTTAATTTAAAACTGGGGATTATGCTGTGTATTAATGGATCAACACAATTGTTAGATTCCAAAGACATCAGTGAATCAAGTTATTCCATGATGATTATTAAACCATCAACAGGTAACCATTATAACCTGATCTTATTTCACCTTATCTTTCTTTGCTGCTGCAAATGTGTTTGACTAAACATACTGTCACAACGGCCAAAAAAAAAAGACAAAAGATATATTAAGAGTTAAGAGCCCAACTAATGGAAACACTAATCACTGTTATGGTGACTTCAAATTAAACACATTATAGTTAAACCTCTGTTATTTCTCATAAAAGTCAGTCTGGTTAGTAATAAGTGAAGCTGGTAATGCTGTTTGTGGAGTTGTTTAATCCTCCTCTGCTGAGATCTTCACAGATTTAATGTCTTATTTTATCTTCAAGTGATTTCATCTAAGACTGTGTCTGAAGTCAGTTGTAGTTCTTGTGTTTCTGCTCGTCTCTTTTTCTGTTCTCTTCTTTCCTTCAGTGATTCTGCTTGTTAACAGGCTTATTAAGGCTGCAATTACTTAATATTTAATATACACAGATTTTGTGGCTCAGATAAGGCCCAGTTCTGGTTTATTTCTTTGCTCTTGGCTGACATGTGGCATTGCTATGGCCTACTTGTGGCCTAGATCTGGCAAACAGGAGTGGGCCACCCAAGGGCCGTCATTCCACGCTGCATGTGGGCCAGATCCGCATCCCACAAGTGCCAGATGTGGGCCGGATCTGGGCCGAAACAATGTTGCTATCTGGGAAGCATGCTGGGAACTTGAAATCTGTTGTAACTCATTCCGTGAATGTGTGTGTGTGTGTGTGTGTGTGTGTGTGTACATACATTCACATTTATATGTGAACATGCATGTGCAATATATGTACACAATAAAGGATACAACTTTGTGAATATTACATACAGTATAATGCTATTGTTGTCTTATTTGTGTGTATATTTTATATTCACTAATACACATGGTCAATGCATATATTGCAGTGTATTAAAAAAAAAAAAAACACTAGTTTTCCATATATGAAAATGTATTATGTAATATTGCATAATATTTTGCAGTATATTCCCGTATATTTTTGTTCCGTAAGGGAATCTTGTGTTAAAGAACTTGTGTGAGTCGTTCCTGAAGGAGAGAGATGAGAGGCGTTCATCAGTGTCTGAGGAGATCTGCAGTTTACACAGTGAGAAACTCAAACTCTTCTGTCTGGAGGACAAACAGCCGGTGTGTGTCGTCACGTGTGTGTTAACTCACAGAAATATGTCAATCACACATTCAGACCCAACAGTGAAGTTGTTCCATCATATAAGACGGATTTACAGATGAGTATAAACACTTATGCTCATGATATGAATATATGAATATAATATATAAAATAATTTAATGTAATAGATTATAATTTAAATTTAATTCTCAATACAGCACTGAAGTCCTTATAAGAGAAACTTACACACAAAGAAAACATAATTTCCTTTCGATTTTACTCTCAATAAAACAATAAAAGGTGTTTTATCTTGCTAGGGCTGAGTTTTTGTTGCATTTACATTGTTCTGACCAGCAGAGGTCACCAACGTGTGACAACAGTGAATCATTTTGTGAAGCAAAAAAATCGAGAAGCACCTGGCTGAAGCCTGCAGATTTGGGCGGGGGTGCACCTGGGGAAGCCCAAATGTATCATCGTATAAAGCCCGCCCTGGCAATTTGATTGGCCAGACCATTTCTGGATCGAGCATACCTCAACGGATCAAGTCCAGACCGAACTTCCCGACCAAAAAATATTGTGGCCGGGGTTTGGTCTGGCATCCAGG